CTCGAAAACCAAACAAACGGTCCTTGCCGGGAACGTTTAAATAATGATTCAACTGGTTTAAATGAAGTTGTTAAATGGAGCATTTTCTTTAAATTATAGTCGCTATGAGTTAGATGTGGGCCGCTTTAACTCATCTTGCGAGTCCATTTTATCCAGACTTACAGGTAAAACGGCGTCAAGCCACAAGAAGTACATTTTTTTAATATCTAAGAATGTCTATGTCCAATCTTTGTTTTAACTAGAAATTACATTTAAATAAAAACAGGGCTCATTCTAAAAACGTTTGCTTTTTCATGACATTCCTCTTAACTGATGAAAAACTGCCTTCAGAGTAAATATGGCCGTCTTACCCCACTCTCCCCTAACTGATAAAGTAATTCGGTATTTGTAGTGCAACCAGAGATCATTTTGATAATACAAAACAAAACTAAAGATTCGATTCCCGAGGAACAGATTTAATACATTTCAAATGATTTAACTTTAAAATTTTGAGATAAGCAGACTGCACCAGTTACTTCACTTCCGTTGTCTTGCATCGCAAGGCGAGATGAAAGAAATGGTATTCAAAGTATCGCTTTGAAAATCTGAAGAATATGATTGGTTTAAAGCAGCAATTTACTTATCTGTAACCATTTTCTGACCAGATCTGGATCTACAACACAGGAACAGCTCAATTTAGCCGTTGCTCTGATGAGATGTGGTCATGGCTTGAAGTCGGATTTTGAGGTGATCTGACATGGCGATATAGTTAAGTACTATTCCAGTAAGTTTAAAGTAGAAATAGAGAAAGACGCTAATATACACTGAATGAGGGATCTGAACAAATGTGAATATCAAATGAAATTGTACTTCAGCCTGATGTTTTCATCTATATAAATAAACGTCAATATGTGTGTCTGTTCCTTATAAGTTTCCACATTTCTTGGTCAATCAGCACTAAACTTGACACAGTGATACAGGATAACATTAGTAACATCATGGGGAGGTTTTGGACCCCCCCTCTAATTTCATATCTAATTTAGGAAAAAACTACCAATGTTGTGTATCTCCCAGCATCAGAATAAATTATGTAACTACTTTTGTTAGAATTCTTGAAAACAGTATGTTTTTGTTTTAAGTATTGGTACTTTTATGTGTTTTTATTGCACTTTTAATGTTTATTATGTTAAGAAAAAAATAGAAGAACAATTTCCTAGCGTTTGTTACAAACGAGTTTTTATTTCACCCGTCCAGGAAGACGAGTACTCCAGCTAGTATGTTATAAGAGAGAGATCTACTGTTGGGCTTACCATAGCTTGGAGCAGTACTCTGGCGACAACTGACTGTTAACTAAAGTTTTTCTAATCTTCAATTAGATAACATAGAACTGTGGTATGTTTTAAACAGGATGTTGTCCGAACCACTGATCAACCTAAGTCAGGTTTTCGTTTAACTGTTATAGTTTAGTTTACTTTCAAAACTGATAAACTAGAGGGAAGGCAGCCAGTCAACAGCACCCACCGTGTTTGATCAAATAGTGGCATTTGAACGCCACTTTTATAACACATCCACCACAACTCCAAATGCGAAGCTACTTTTTGTGGAAAAAGGATGAGAACCATGAATCCCCAGATTAACAGCCTAGGAAACAGTTATAGAAAGCTGCACTAGTTATAGTAACGGATATGTGTGTGTGTGTGTGTGTGTCGGTTTTTGTTTCACTCAACCGTAATTAAACATGTTTAACGAACTAAATGATGTTAAAATCTCTAATAATCGGCTCGCTCAAAATTATCTAAAGCTGTTGCACATGATTTAGCTTTATTAGCGCTTGAAACTTTAATAAAATAGTTATGGAGCTAAGTGTAGTGCTATTACTGAAAACCGCGTAATTTTGCTTTCTCGTCTGACTGTCATGAACAAAAACTAAATTACATCTTATTGTGTACAACCACTGTCAAAACTACAATGGCTACAAACATTTAACTGTATGAATAATGGTGCTTATATTTGTCATGAGATCCACAAATTACATCTTATTGTGTACAACCACTGTCAAAACTACAATGGTTACAACATTTAACTGTATGAACAATGGTGCTTATATTTGTCATCGGATCCAAATTTCACATATTTTGTTCTGTTTGGTTGTATTAATGGTTTCAAATCTCCCTTCCATCCATAGGATAGATATATTTTTTTACAAAAGCTGATGGAAGAATGGCCTAAAAATCGTGAAATATTTCATGATAAACTGTACATGTTTTTTTCACATTTTTCTTGTTTGATGTGAAATCCATAATTGACAAGTTAAAAAGAATGTAAAAAAAAATTAACTAGCATGATTATTTTTCCATGAATATTAAGCATATTGGTTTCTAATGTTTCGCATGCCTTCGTTATTCAAAACCATAATTATTAATGGAAAATGGTTGTAGATAAAAGTTCTTGTACTAGAAACAACAATCGCACTAAATGATAAAACTAAGGATCCAAATAGTAATAAAGAATAGTTGTATAGTCACATTTTACAATATAATTTAGATTGGAATTTTTGATCTAAATGGCCAGTTAAATGACTTAGGATTCAGGCTTAGCCGTTCCTAATTTTGAAGTGCTTACAAGACGGAAGGGGTGGCAGCCAGGCATAAGAACGAATGCCTCCGAATAAAGAGATTGACATCCACTTTTATAACGCCCCGACAGTTGAAAGTGCTGAGATCGTATTCAGCGGCATCCTGTCTCGATTCCTGGACCTTTCGATTCGCAGCCTGACACGGTCATCAGTAGGTCACGCGGAAAGGGGGTAAAGTAAGCCCAGTTTTCGTATACCAGAATGTTCTTTTTTCTTTTAAAGCTTACCAAATCACGTTCCAAAAAACATGAAAAACACTTGAAATAGTTTTAGCCATAAAGTTGTAATAATAACATTGATTAGGTTAAGAAGAGTATATACTACAATTTCATCCATTAAGAAGTTGTATATTACCATATCATCATTTAGGAAGAGTTTACATTACCATTTCATCCATTAAGAAGAGTTTACATTACCATTTCATCCATTAAGAAGAGTATATACTACAATTTCATCCATTAAGAAGTTGTATATTACCATATCATCATTTAGGAAGAATGGTAATATAAACTCCATCCATTAACAAGACTAACTCTTCGAGTTAGTTATTGCATCTATAGCTCGATTTTATAAAAATTTTCTTCCGTTTTTTAGTCTGTTCCAGTGATGTGTTTATTTGTCTGTTTTGATCTGATGTGAAGAAGTTTTTACAGGCTCTAACACGTGTTTCAGTTGATGACCAGATCGTAAGCCTTCACATATGAGAACTAAATGAAGTTCTGATATCTCTCTGCTCGTTCTTCTCAACAGAAATCGATATAAACTTTCGGAGGAAGCGAATCGTTAACGTAACCTAGAGTGCTTGTCTCCAATTTTGCGATATATCGAAAAGCTATATCACTTCCTTCAATATTTTCCCGATATTTTAAACAGTTTCTTCTTCTTCTTTGTTCTCGCAAACTTCATGTTACAACAGTTGTGTGCAGATACCAATGCAGAATGAAGGAGGGTTATCAGTTCAAACTTTAATTCTAAAAGTTTTAATGTTATCAATAATCTCTACATATTCGTTCGTTGATTATTGATATGTTGAAAATCAATATATTTTATTCAACATTTACTTTTAGTCCTAACTATTTAATATAAACCAAAATGTGTCAAAAAAAAACAAGAAAAACATCATCATGGGAAAGAAGATAACACAATCAGCACCAAATAATTGATGAGCACATTAATATAAAGAACGTAGCCTAAGGAGTATAGTAGTTAAACCAACTGTAGAAAAATTCAAAAGAAATAACCTTAAAGATAAATCACTGAGTAAAAACAATCTAACAGCGTAGGGTGATCTTATTTCATCATCTGCTCAAACGTAGGTGATATTCAAAGAACATCGATCGCTTTTGGAAGTTAAATCTTCCCTTATTGTGAGATAAGATAAAAATGAAGAGGAGGAGAAAAGATCTGTTCGATGCCACTGTGATGATACTACAATGGTTCGTCATCACAACACAGGTGTGTGTGCGTGTCGCGTCACTTTTGATCACAGCAAACATTCACACGTCGTGTTATTGCAGTGACTCATCCGAGCATCCCCATTGCAACGACGACCGAAGCCTAGCTATTTTATTTAATTCTTACATTAATATAGTTAATTTATATTCGGGTTGTAGTCAGTTCTGTTTTACAATAAGAATTACAATCTAGAATGACATTATAGGTATTACTATAACGACCTAGAGATACAAGATGGCGATGAAAATGAGATGTTAGTTACGATATATTGTTTGCTTGAATACGAGTCATGGTTTACAATGATACCCGGTAATTAGGGCGATTGACTCGTAATCTGAGGGTTGTGGGTTCAAATCCCCGTCGTTGAATGTCCTCGAACTTTCAGCCGAGGGGTGTTATAATGCGTCGGTTAATCCCATTATTCTTTGATAAAAGTGTAGCCCAATAGTTGGTGGTGAGTAGTATTCATTAGCTACCTTTCCTCTAGTCTGGCACTTCTAAATTAGAGACAGCTAGCGCAGATAATTATCGGGTAGCTTTGCGCGAAATTCAAAGTCAACAACAAACCAACGATACCAGTTATATTAGCTACCTCTAATAATGTGTTTAAATTATAATGAATTTGCTGTTGTCGTTGTTATAATGATGGCTCATTCATAAGTTTGAGAGATTATAACGCTAAACTTCAGGGTTCAATTCATGCAGTGGGCTTAATATAGACAGCCCATTGTACAGCTTTGCACCTAGCGACAAAGAAACAGCTCTGGGCTGAAAACCACATAACGAACACATTGTAAAATCGCTATAGTATTATAATTAGTTTTTCCATCTATTTCATATCAAATCAGGTCGAAATCAGTATTGATTTATGTTTGACATAGGGTTATAACTACAGGAAATTAATAAATGAAATGCCCATACTTGATTACAGTTGTAACTATGATTACCTGGAAATCCAAGATGGCGATAACGCTCAAGCTGCGTCACGACATTGTGGAGACTATAGACAGAAGCTGAAGCTACTACGTCACCTGAGTTCTACCAATCAACTGAAGTTAAAATTCCTTTCTGATTTCTCTTACTCAAACAGAGGATTTCGAGCCGAGGTTCGTCTTTGGAATGGTAAGAATTACAATAAGGTAGATAGACAGACAGACAAATAAACAGCTATTAAAGAATTAAAATCAATCATTTCATTAAAAAATTTTGGTATGATCTTTTAAAAAAATATGTTTGTTCAGACCTGTGTGTATGTATTAAGTCTTAGCGGAATCAACATGACCTTTTCAAAACTATCAGTGTCGTATCCTAATGTTTAATTTGCAAATTTTTCTTACGTTAGATATATTAAAGAAAAGTAACTAAGTTTCGATAATTTTGTTGACCTTTCGTTAGCTTCGCTACTTTGAGTTTTATATGAGGTAATTAATTTAGTTACATTACTCAAATACATACACATGGATTGAAAATTCAAGGACGTTTCTATTTTAGATCAAATTTTTGTCTAATCGTGCGTATATGCATTTACGTGAATATTGGTTTTAATTCCTTTGGTTCAGGGTTTATCTTTGTTTGTTTTTGTCTTGTTTTTTCACGGGACAACCAAAGCAACAGACCATGTTAGCGATAATAAATAGTAAAACATTCTCTTTAGTTTAGGAAATCTTAACATGACGAACTGGTCAGCTAGGTTATAAGTTCTAATTGTCTTTGTAGTCTTTCGCTCACTAAAATAAACGGTGCAAAGGTGTTTTACTGAGGTTAAACGCGACGAAACTTTTCAGAATCAGTTGTTTATAAGTGCCTTTTTTTGAAAATGAAAACAAGATTACAACACACAAGAACTCTGCTCTTCTTCATCCTAAAAAACACACAACAAAAACGTATTTTCTTGTGTTACGTTTAGGCCTCAGGCCCACATCTGACAGAGCTCATTAATCACATCAGTTACTTTTGTTAAAGATGTTGATGAAGCATGTTACAATCGTATCATCCCTTACAATCAACTGTTCACAACATAGTGCATAGTTACATGTCTTTCTATATTTCTGTTTTTGTGTGTAACCTCTTTTATTAACAAATACGGGGAACACCAGAATCAAACTGTAGACATTTTTAAACATTCTACCCCCTATCTTATCTTTCTATACGAAGTCTATAGTGAACAACGTTAAACACCAACCTTTATCAAACACACGAAATCACCTTTGACCTACTTACCTTCTACTTTTAGCGAAGTAAATAACAACTATACACTTGACCAATTACTTCGTTCACACTTCTCATTCAGCAACCATGGATGTATTTCCATTTAAAAATGCATGGGCTGAAAAATAACAATATATCTCATTCCAAATTATCTTCCTCTCCTCATGTAAACATAGAATTATAATGGTACTCAAACGTTATTTGAACATAGAATGTAAAACTTTTACAGTAGATATTTTAGATCATGAAACAACGTTTGAATAAAACCCTTAGAACCAGTTTTAGATTATAAAACAATGTTAAGATAATTCTTAGAACTAGTTTTAGGCCATGAAATAGTGTTAAGATAGCTCTTAGAACTAGTTTTAGATCATGAAACAGTGTTAAGATAGCTCTTAGAACTAGTTTGAGATCATGAAACAGTGTTAAGATAGCTCTTAGAACTAGTTTGAGATCATAAAACAGTGTTAAGATAACTTAGAACTAGTTTGAGATCATGAAAAAGTGTTTAAAGACAACCTTTTTCTTTGCTATTTCAAACAATAGACGACGGTTACACGATGATGGCCACACGAATGGATGAAACGTTGTAATTAAGTTAAACATAAAATTAAAATAAACAATCCACTCAAAAGCTGTATCTCTGGATTTTTACCTTTAGAACTAGTTTTAGACCATAAAACAATGGTTAAAGATAACCTTTAGAACTAGTTTTAGACTACAAAACAATGTTTTAAGATATCCTTTAGAATTAGTTTTAGACCGAAAAACAATGTTTTAAGATAACTCTTAGAGCTAGTTCTAGATCGTAAAAACTGTTTGAAGGTACGTACCCCTTCTAAAGGTGTAATGCACAAGGGTTAATCGTTCTTCATAAAAACAATGTTTCTGGTCACGTGCTACCCTCGAACGATTTCTTCCATCGTCGATCATGCACATTATGATGACCATGATTTCATGCTATTGTCCAATACCGTAATTTCTATTGTAACAAGCTTCCGCAAAAGATGGCGAAGTCAGTTTTAGAACACACGTCACGACAAACTTTCCACAGAACCTTTTCTGTATGTGGACTTCCAAAAACCACATTTAAGAGACCAAAGGCACAGAAACTTATTGAAGGTGTATTGGAGGACTTAACAAGTACTTATTCGAATGGGATTGCTTCGGTTCCATATTTCTTCGTCCCGTCTTTCCCTTACAAACAGCCCCCCCCCAGTAGCACAGCGGTATGTCTGCGGACTTACAACGCTAG